GGAAAAGAAAATTAAAACTACCATAGTATATTGGGGTTATATATTGGGATAATTGAGAAGAAAATGGAAACTGCTATAGTATATTGGGGTAATATTGGGATAGTGTATTTGGGGTAGTATTGGCATAATGGAACAGAAAATGGAAACTACTATAGTATATTTGGGGTAGTATTGGGATAATGGAACAGAAAATGGAAACTACTATAGTATACTGGGGTAGTATTGGGATGATGGAAAAGAAAATGGAAACTACTATAGTATATTGGGGTAGTATTGGGATGATGGAAAAGAAAATGGAAACTACTATAGTATATTGGGGTTAAATTGGGATTATGGAAAAGAAAATTGATAATAGAGGTTTTATTGCCTGCAGACCGGGATCTGCAAACATGCCCAAGGATCGTCTCAAGGCCTCAGTAGCCATTATCCCACTATTACTCGATATGATATAGTAGATTCCATTTTCTTTTCCATTATCTCGATCTTACCCCAATATAATGTGGTAGTTTCCATTTTCTTTTCCATGATTCTAAATATTACCCCTAAATACTACGGTAGTTTCCATTTTCTTTTCCATTATCCCAATATTCTAGAATACCTGGGCATTGACTGATCTGGACATCTCGCAAGATTCCGTTTCAACCCTTGCCACCTTCCACATACTTCCAAATACATGCCACGTAGGAGACACACCCAGGAGAGGAGCTAGTCTTGACTCTCGGAGCGCGGGCACGGACTTGTCAATGTGGCTCTTTGTTCAGCAGCTGCAGTCTTGCAAAATGCAGAGCTTGAGATGGGGTGTTGTAAGTTTGGGTGCCGCAATGGCATATCCTTTTCTCTGAGCCTAGGCTGGAAAAGGGGTGTTCAGAGTGTTCAGCTGAGCAATCAGGGCCTGCAGGATCAACATCACATATGTGCTCCTGTTTGAAAGCATTTGCTTACCGAGCCTGGCAATCGGTAATTTAGCAAGTAGGTGTTGTGGACGCCTGCGCTCTATTAGGCCAGGTTTGCCTCCTGCAAGCACATGAACTTCACTTGTGGCTGCTACGGCCTGTTGTGATAGAAGTGAAGGACAGGGACGCATGCGTAAATTTCATATTGAGTTCCGAATACTAGGCGTTCCTTGTTGGTGGTCAGCATGATATGGGCAAAGCATGTGAGGTCCTAACACAGGTCCAGCTCCGAGGCTTGGAGATGATCTAGGCACTTTGTGTGTTTTTTGCAAACCTTACAATGCACCGGATCTACGGCTTAAGACAAGATCCTCATAGGGCTTTGAACAAGCCCGCGAAACGTCTTGGAGGAAAGGAATCCAGTCGGCAGCGCAATTGTTCTGAACATCTCCTGCAACATCGCCATTATGGCAGCTCCTAAATTTTGATAGAGTGCCTGGACTCCCACATGCTCTTGCTGGGCCAAGCCGGCTGCACATCTCACGCTATACTTGAACTGCTGGAGGCCTCTGAATGCCGCTGCGTGTTCAGATCAAGTCAGCATTGCAGACTTGTAAACATCCCTTATTTCGTCGACAGTTTCTCTTTTGCTGGTCGCTTCTTTTGGCAGGCAGGTTGGGGTGTGTTTAGCCAACTGATGTGCAGTATTGGGTATTGGTTGTAGATTCATCTTGAATGGTTAGAAGTTGAACAGCTGGAGGCACGTAACTTGAGAAAATGTTCGCAACTGACTTGGGCATATTCTGTGATCTTATTGCCTTCTGGACAGGATCTACAGAGACCTCACTATGCATTGACTCTTTGCATGAGTCTAGAAGGGGATGTTGATGTGGCAGACTGATGCAGTCACTGTAGGAACGTCCACGGAACCCGCTTGCTGAACCGAGGATATTTCGTTGTGTCCGTATGAGTTTTGCTGGTTTGATAATTGGGCAATCCCTGTAAGAAGGTGAGCCAAGTCTGGCAGGGCAGTCCCACACACATGTACTGCAATTGCAAAAGAGCTGAACTCAGAGTGGTGGATGCTACAGGTAAAGACCCGAGCCAGACTGCAAACCTTTGCTTCTGCGAGTTCAGCTCTGTGACCTTGCGATCCAAAAAGCAAGCTCCTGTGAAGAGGCCATTTGGCATTTTCGGCCATGACCGGCTTGAGCGCTGGCAACGTGCAGGACGGCTCGCGCTTCACAGGGTTTGCACGCTTTATTCAGGCTTTCAGACGATCATTTTACGCGGGGTTCTAATTTCCTACTTTTCCAGCTTTTTGCTAAAGGAATAGTGCAAGACTTGGCGACAGCAGGCCTTTTACAAGACTGTAGTGCCTTGATCCTGGCTGCTTCTAGGTAGTTCTGGCCTGCAGCGCCGGATCCTGGCTTCCAAATACACCATGGCTGTCTACATGTAAGTGGGCTTCAAACCCAGAACTTTCCCTGGGCTAGGATCCACAGGATGAGCGCTCCCTACTCGCCCCAAGTTTTTGTAACAACCCTCTGGCGCCTTACCGCTTATCATCTACATACTCGGGGTACTGTATGTGTTCTGCATGCATTCCTTGGATTCCCAGATAGTCATCCCACTGAACTTGAGGTTGAAGGTCTCATGCAGGCCGGTCCTGTTGCTGAGGACCAAAAGGTGGAGGAGGAGGAAATCATCGAAGCAACTGAGGCGTGTGTCCTTCATAATGTTGGCGGCTACTTGCTTTTGTTGGCTCCTTAAAGCAACCGGCGCGTGTTACTCGGTGGTCCGCATCAACCATAACACTGTTGCTGCAAGCCTCGTCAGGTTTATGGAGAAAACCTCATTGCTTCTTAGTTTCTTTTTTGTTGAACAATGTGTTGCTAGTTACGAATTCTTCCTTTTGAAGTACTTCGACAGGAGCCCAATTGACTGGGTGCTGATCTTTTGACAAATTGCCAGGTGGCCGGTGATGAGAAGAAGAAAAAGAAGAAGAGCCTCGGATGCGTGACGGCGCACGTTGATTATCGCTGGCTGAATGTAGGGAAGTATCTAGTTTTGCTGGACTGCGACTCCTCTGAGTCCCATTCAAGTTGATGGTTCACCTACTAGGGACGATGTAGAACATGCCAATCGCCCCCGCAGCTTAGACTCATAAGGGCTCATCTAGAAGAAGGCAAGGCTTCAAGGGGTTTTCATCCATGCCGTCCTGTGACAGATATGGTTTGGGCATTGGGGGCATTTGTGGAGGAGCAACGGTTGTCTTTCCCGACTTCTGAGGAACAAGAAGAAGAAGCCAAAGCAAGGCCAGTGCATTTGGGCTTGTGCAAGCCTGATCCTCCGTCGGAAGGGCTCCTCGAAAACTTTATTTATTCGATCCTTACCCTAAGACACCAGGGGTTTTGCCTCGCTTCCACAGCTGAGACTGCCTCAAGCAGGAGAGGAGGAAGCAGCTGATGGAGCTGACGCCGAGGAAGAGGTGCCCGCAGAAACTATAAGGATGTTGAGCGTGAACATGATGGTGAGAAGTAGTGAAATTGGCTTGGTTTTTCTTATTATCAGTAACATTCTTGTTATCAATATATTTTTCTTATTATTAGTGGTCTTGGTGGTGGCGTCAGCGGCAGTGGTGGAGGTGGTGGCAGCGGCAGTCTTGTTATCTTGGTAGTCTTGTTTTTTTTCGTAGTAGCTTAGTGCTGGCTTTGCAGAAGCCACTAGCGGAAGTCCTGCAATCGCAGGAGCCAGATTCCGGATCACACTCCTCAACATCACAGTATCAAGCCTAAAAGGTAAAACGTTCACAAAGTCCTGAGCTCTAAAGTCCTGAGCTATATTCCAACCCCACAAAGCTTCTACGCCTCTCACAAGGCGCTTTTTCTGGCATCCCCATCCCCAGCTCCTGTCTCGGTGCAAACCAGGAGGCCGAGGCTCCTGCTGCGGCTGAAGAGGCAGTCGAGGAGGAGCCTTATACTCAAGCCGTTTGTCGAGAAGTGAGGAGGCCCAAAAACAAGAGTCCTAGCTCTGGGACCTTTCCTTGTCACTGCAGCCGATTCAGCTAAAGCTGTTCCCTTGCTCTGCCTCTCTGGACGCCTGTGGTGGATGATGGTCATGTCGTGCAACATGGCGCGGTTTGGAATGAGCGCTCCAAAGGGCCGCCAGTCGTGAGGATCCAACAGCCTTGGGGTTGGAGGGCGGAGATGATTTCTCAAAATGACATGAGCTTTTGACAGACATCATCTTCACAAAGCTAACCAGCTCATCTCTCCGGAGCTAAGCGAGGAACGAGGGAACGGATCTGTAGGTAGTGTCCTTGTTATCCATTGAAATCCATTGCCCCATTGCCTACTGAGCACTAGGAAGTCATAGGTGAATCTACAAACGGTCGGGTCCGTTTCCCCTCCACATGCCTCAGTCTCCTCAAGTGAGAGATTTGTGAACCCTGCAGCTCTTCTTCCCAGATATGACAGTCATCCTGGCCTTTCACTGTGGCATGTGATCGCCATATTTGCACGTTTGGGTTTGGGGTCTCCCTCTCGCTTACATGAAAGCCCATGATAGCAGGCTGAGCAGGACATGAGGACAAATTCTGCTCCCAAGATTTGCAGGAGAATGGGGCAGGCACCTCCCCATCCAAGAAGAAGAAGAAGTCCGCCGCCCCCCATGGCATCGCTGCATTTGTTTTGGCTGCGTTTTGGGTCGAGTTGCTCTCATTATCCCTTGATGGCGTTTGGGTCCGTATAGAAATATCAGACTTCATTGAGGATTTGGAATTGAGTTTCAGGGCTTTGATGGGCATCTCCTGGCCAGAATGCAAATTGCGGCCATCGCCTCCTTCCGTGAGGTCCATCCATTTCTCTTCACGGGATGTTGCAGGGGCCAATGGTTGGGACTATGGATTCGAGCTATAAGACCCAGCCAGGAGGCATCGGAGGGAGGGGCGACATGAGGTTGCAAGCTGCACAGGTCCACTCTCTGAATTCATGCTTTGGTGGTTGGACCATGCGCGTCTACTTTTTAGGCTCCAGCATGTCCTGCTTCTTGCTGCCGAGTCAGATCTCAAACCAACTTAGCCAAGTGGCTGGCCATGTCGCAAGCGTTTGTCTATGCGGTCTCCGTGGGGATCACAGCCCTTATCCAACTATCAGGAGTTTCGGGCATGTGCGGTATCGTGTGGTCTTGTTTTGCACTGCTGTTCTTGTTTGGCACAGCTGCTCTTGTTCGCGCCTAGCCGCCTGCCTCTGATTGGCCCCTGAAGGATTTGCTGTAGCCTTTGCGCTTCAGACTGAGGCGGGCATTCTCAGCGAAGCTATGTTTTGCGAGCTCAATCCCAAATGCTAAGGCCTTCGTACCCCTAGCCCACACCTTGCTCCTTGACGGCTGAAATACATTGAAGCCATGCGCTGCAGAAAAAAGCCTCATGGACATTCATCCCTGAGCTTTGTTAGACCTTCTACGACATCCTTGGCGGGACCAACTTTTTGGCCCTGGCAGCATGGTGGGGGCCTCAGGTTCCTTCATCATTCCAATCCTATTAGGGCTTGCACAAAATTTGCGGTTTACGATTTCAATATTCTAGAGTTTTGTGCTGTCACGGTTTTGGGCTCGAGGGCTTAGGGAGTAGGAGGTGCCTTTGAAGGCGCTCAAGGGTTTTGTTGGCTTTGCAAACGCAGGACTCGCATGAGTAGCTACATGTCGTCTGGTGCCAGGATTCAGGTATTTTTGGAGATATATGTAAGGCTTCGGCCTCGATGTTGAAACGTTATGGCTGCCGCCCGGTGCGTGTTGGCAGCAGCTGCCGTACCAACAGCAACAGCTATTGTGTGCTAGCCGTCATCGTGCTAGTCGTTGCTACCTGATGAGAAACAGTAGCAGTTGCCGTTGCCGTCGTAGAAGTTAAAGTGCTGAAGTAGTACTCGAAGAAATGGTGATGATAACCACTGCATGAATTGCCAGTGCGAATCAATGTGTGTGATGGCATGAGTTTATTTTTTGCATACCAGGCTTTAGATAACCACCAAGCAAGACATTCTCAAATGCGCCAGCAGGAAGAAGCCTCATGAGTGACCCAAGCAGCGGTTTCTCAAAAATACCTTTGCATAAGCCGTAATAGGGATCTTGCCTCCCTACGTATGCTTGAGCTTGTTGAGGTTCTTGAAGCTACCCGCCCTCGCGTGACAGAGAATTCCCAAGTGATTTGGGCAGGTCTGCGTGGTGCAGTGCTGCTTTCTTCAGCAACACTAGGCATGGAGCTGTAGCAGACCTAAGTTGCAGGCAATCACAAGACGACCTCTTTAAGGGGTTACTGCAGGAGCTTTTTTTTAACCGACTTGACGTCTGGGAAGACGATGAGGGGTTGGGAGACGGTCTCACGATAATGCATCTTTCTCTCGGATTTTGTTCGCGAAAGACCCTGAAGGAAGGCTTGAAGACAGCAATCACCAGTGCTGAATGCCAAGCATCTGGAACGATTCCTTGATGCCAAACATAGTTGCACACGCGTGCTGAACACGTACATTCGGATTGCCCTCTGCACAAAATCAACCAACAATGCCATCTGTTCCATGCCGCACATTTCAAAGGCGCAGCTTAAGACCTCATTTTTGGAAATGCCATCCAGTGACAAGGGCAGAACGGGACCGAGGGATGGTCTTTCAGTGTTTCGTTCAGCTAATGTGTTCAGAGCAACTCTTCGTTTGATGTCCACGTTCAGCCGGCCTTCCAAAACATGGTTACCACCAACATGCCTCCAGAATCCATGTATGACTGTGGTATAACATACCTGGGGTGAATCAGCCCTAGATTACGATCCAGACAAAGCCGCTTCCACATTCATCTTCCATTTGATTCTCCACTCTTGAAGTTATTCAGGCACCTAACCTTTGATGCTCTTCCGCTTATATTGGTGTCAACGTGTAAACCAGGGGGCCCGTAGATGATCCTGCAATGATGCACAACCCTGAAGGGCAAGCACCCTGAACTTGCTATCCTGGAGTCCCAAACCCGTGAACCGTGACAACTAGCCGGCAATACAAATGCACCTTAAGTCCTAAATCAATACACCTTAACACTTGCACCATATTTTCGAAGGCAGATCATTGCGACAGCGCTTTTCGTGCTCTCCCGCGGTTGGCTCCTGGTCGACTGGTCCAAACTGAGGATTTGTCATCCATGCATAGGCTTTGAGGTTTTCTAACATCATGGGACGGCGTGTTGGGAATTTGCATTATTTTTGCTATGGAGTTTCGAGTAGGGTTTGAGGAGAATGATGGAATGCGCTCTGGTTCCCAGACTCGGTTGCAAAGTTGCAAAATGATGGTACTGGTGCAGCCTTTCAGACTCCAACAGTCAGCCCCAAATGCATGGCAGTGCGGGTTCTAGGTTCAAACAGGATTAGTGTTTGGGTTCTGGGGACCTGTTGAGATTGGGGCTCCTGCCGTGTTCGCGAATCGCTTCTCTGGAGCAAATGCTTCTTTTCGGCAAGTCCCCAGCTTACCGCTCATCCATGAAGGAATTTGCTCTACCATCTCCTAACACTAGCATGGAATCCAATGTTGCCCTCCTTGACAAGGACAGTTGTCCGTTTCAGACCCCTTCTCGATTTCATGCTGAGGGTCGGGAGAGGGTACCTTAACAAAACGGGAGGCTGAGGCCACCACTAGATCGGATGCACAAGACCAATCCCAGGAAAGAGTATCCAGAACCTCTGTCATCTCCTTGGAAGCTTTCCCGCATGGTCTTCTGCAAGTCCTGGCGTGAAAGCTTGAGAGGTCTTCTTGGCCTGGCGCGCCCATGAGCGAAAGGGCGACTCCCGCTTTGCTGCGCGGATGATATGGGATGCGTATTTGCGTTGTTTGCCGGCATAAACAAAGGGACCCCGGAGTGTTCCCAAGAGGGATGCCCACCCAAGCTCAGGATGGCGTGAAGGACAAGTTCGGCAGATTCCTGTTGTTTTGGGTGGTGCAGGGCGTGTGGGTCATGCTGATCTCCATGCCGAACCTCTTTATCAATTCTTCTGCAGCAAACAGGCCTGGACGGAAGCCCAAAGCTCAATATCTGCGAGTCCAAGTCTCGAGCCTGGAACCACCAACATGAATTTCACTGTCGCGTTCGCGTAGCTAAACAAATCCTTTGCAGATCCATTCCATCCCTAAACCAACAACGATCTTTCAACATACAACATGTCTGAGTGACAGGGCAGCTAAAGTCTCTCATGACTTGTGGTGATAACTGACAAGTTACCTAGGCAGAGGCAGCGATGATGTGATAACCACTGTCTGGGTAGCCGTCTATGTACGAATACTCTCTCACTCTCTCTCAAGAGAGAGTCAGTTGTTGTGCCCCACTGCAGAGCAGGCCCCTCACGTGGTTCGACTGGGTCCTGGTGGGCGGCTTCGCCTATGCAGTGAGCCTGGGCTTCGTCTAAAGGGAAGCTTGTGGATATCTTTTAGCCCCACAGCTTGCAGACTTGTAGTTGTAGTTTTGCAAGCCCCAAGCACTCAACACTGAAAACCTCACCCAAACCGTCATCCCAGGATTGTCGAGATCCTAGCGGACATACAGAAGGCCAACTGGGTCCAAGCAGGTCGCCCCGGCGGCTTCTGCCAAGTTGGGGTTTCCTGACCCTTTTGGTTACCAAAAGAATCAGGAGTCCTGTTTCTCTGGGCTTTCACAGAAGACTTCTTCATCAGATGTGACAGGTGTGCATTTTTATTGATGATGGAACTCAGGTTTGGGCTTATTCGCGGCATCCGAACTATTTCGGAGAAATCTTTCAATGGTGGTGCGCGTGGGCATTAGCATACAATAGCTCCGAGCATGCTGCTGGCTATTCCGATCCCCTCTGGTGGATCTGCATCTTGTCCCCGGCGTTCACGATGCATATTCTGCTGAACCTAGCTCCCACCGGTATCACCAACGCAGAGGGCAAGAATCTCAAGCGCTACTACGAGAAGTGCCCAGCTCCTCTCCGCAACTTAATACTACTGTGTGTGGTGTAGAGTTGGTGCTTGCAGTGTGGAGCCTTTGTTGAGCATATGATGCTGACAAGACTGGCAAATCAGGATGAGTATGCAGAGTACCGGAAGAATACTTCCATTCTCATCCCGATGATTGGATACAGACACGTTCCGCTAGGTCTGAAGAGGACCGTCCCTCCGCCAGAGAGTGGATCTGCAATGTTGACTGTATACTATATGGCCATTGTATAGGGGTCACTAGTACCACGGGTCGTTTTCGAAGCTGCAAACATGCATCTTTCACATTAGCAATAACAAGGAAATCCTCCAAACAAACAGAACCTGATGCCATGAGTTGGTTTGTTGATGGAGCTCCCTGCCTGAGCAGGACAATCTTTTTCGACTTTGAGCGCTACGAGTACCGTCCAGGAGGGTCTGGAAAGAAAGATTGACAAGATGGCAGACATGAGCCTCTGTCTAAACTTGCTGCTTTAAGGGCTTAATAGGGATGCGGCTGACGCTTTTTACTGTTGAGGAATCCGTTTGAGGTTAATCTCCCGAGTTGGGGACCTTGCTGAAATCAAGCTGGAAGAGTTTCCGGCTGCGGCTGCCGCACGCAAGTAAGCAGGCAACGCTAAGCCATCAAATGCGTTACCATCCCAACGTTGGTACTGCCTAACTGTTAGTAGTCTTGTTTCCAATGAAAGGCCAGTGTAGGGCTTCTCTTCTTGAGCGCGTTTTCAGGCTCCGATGCGTTTCATACTTGGATGCTGCTGGGCTGGCAGCCCAAGCCCACGCCAGATGTAAGCTACAGCCCATGTCAGCCATTACCCACATCGCAGCCGAGAAGAATATCATGGGTGGACATAGAGTTCCTCATGATGATTTGGAACAGTCTTGCACTACTTGCCTGATGAGTGAATCTTATGTCCACATAGTCCATGTAGCTAAGAAATTTTGACTATGATTCATGTATCTGCCCAAGAGGATGTTAAGGTCACTGGCTCTGAGCCCTCCATTCTAAAGACCACACATAATCCCTGAAGCAGCTTGGAGTATCTTCCCCACATGATCTCTGGTATTCACGTAAATGCAGGGTCCGAACGAAAGTCTTGGGACCTCCGTTGCCAGGAAGCTCGGCTCTCCAAACGCAGATTCTGACGAGTAGTGATGGCGACTAGCTTGTGGTCTTCAAGCTTAGGAAATTAGGGTACTTGGCTTCAGGTTTGGGTAAAAGAAATTGGATTCTGGACATGTCCGACCCCGCATCATTTCCGACTGCGTAAGCCCTAGGCTTTCAACTTGAGATTGCCCATTTTCTCACCCGTGGAGGCACTCTAAGATGCGCCATCCTGTAGTGTGCGTACAGCCAGAAACAGAGTTGTGTGGACAGATAGCCTGAATTCCCAGAAATGTGGATCAAGGCACTTTTCTGGGGCGTGAGGCCCCAACCTGAGTCCCACTGTTGGGTGGGAGGCGCCGATCAGGCCGCAAAAAGGATGCAGAGCTGGTCAAGGGTAAATTTAGGAAATGAACTTGGAATGCAATTGCAACTTGACACCATGGAGTCGCATTAAGACTCATGTTGGCAAGCTGTCCGGAGATGACAACTGCCGTGCACCTTGCCAGGTTTGGAGCACTGGACAGGTTTTCTAATCAGGGATCCCTCTTCAGTGTCTTCATTACACACCTTTTGTGTGTGGGGTTTGCATAGAGTTGCAACCTCAATCCCAAAGCAGACTATCTTCTGCTTGCGGGCTCGTGCCGGTTCAGCAGCCCCACTTGCATGGTAAGTTATGATCTCTGAGTCATTGCCTATATCTGCTTCGTAAGTTCCGTGTGAGGGGATACAGTTTTGGGGAAGGCTGTCATGGACATCAGAAACAGGCTGCTCCCACCGTAGCGCTGCCACACCTCGTCCAGGTAAGGAGGTTCCAACTCTGAGCAATGCCCGGTCATGAATCGTTAGCACCCGTTGTATGCAAATCGGAGCCGATCATGGCGGATGACGATGGCAAAAATTACCGGTTTCCTGAGCAAGCTTGATGTGACGTTGCTGGCTGAAGTTCACGAATAAAAGTCTGTAGCTGTGATTGCTCATGGCCTGAAACGAGCCGGTTTGGGCAGTACATAATGACTTCTGCAGAGTTGATTTGATTTGGCTCTGCTAGCTCTGTTCATCGACAAACCCCACTACGCCACTCTGTCTGGCCAGTGCAAACTGAGGGATCCAAGATAAAGCTGCAGATCATGCGTCGCAGTAGCAGGGACAAATCGTGAAGAACCACTGTCCCGTCGTCTCTTCAAGGTCACGCAGAATCCAGAAGAGAGCCGGATGCCGCCTTGATGAGTTGCAAAAGCCCAGTTTCTGAGCGCAGGAAGAAGGCTTCTGCTGCGGAGGGCTACCCAGACCAGGCAGGGCAACTGCAAGGCTCAGCTTCCTTGCCTTCCTTGCACCTGGGAGAGAGCCGGAGAAGGGGTGAACAGCATAGACGGAAGCATGCAATAAACGGACTCTCATTGCTTGGTACCATCTACCTGGAAAGTGTCCATTTGCTTCCTTTCACTCCTGGGCTGTAGACTCGGATTCCCTCTGATGGCTCAGATGAAGACATCTGGATTAAATCTGGATGCGGAACTTAGAGCCTTCCACGCGGGAGTGTGCATCCCCAGTAGTGTTCAAGGGAGGCCATTCAGACGACCAGCGCAGCGTTCCTGTAAATCCAGCCCCCAACTCCGCAACTCCAATTGTCCGTTGTATCTTCTTGGCATGTGGCTCGACACCAAATGTTGAGGGCACGCAAGGCACTGACTATACGTTGCCGCAACGTGAACTGCGTGCAGTTCCTACTTCCCAGCGGTATGCCTCCGCAAGAGCTATGGTAGTTTTGACTTGCCGTTGCGATGAGTGGTGCCAGTAGCAGCAGTACGGCCATCATTGCTGCAGGCATTTCTGCTGAAAGTTGGACAGAAGAGCTTTTACACAACAATTGCATTCATTACGCTTTCAACTAGCTGCTGTTGTAATGGTTACTTTTGTTCATTTCAATGTCATCATCCTATGCGGTTTCCAATTTCATACCATCTTCGCATGAAGAACCAATCTTCTTCTCATGACTATTAAAAGCCCAAGTACTATCACGATCACTGCTTTGTCATTTGAATTAAAATGTGCAACATGATTACCAACATTTTTCGATCCTATCATTTGAAATGGAGCTTTCCGGCATCATTGCTGCGAACCACCACATTGCTTCTTGGACGACTACTACTACTACTGCTACTACTACTACCACCACTACTACTACTACTGCTACTACTGCTACTACTGCTCCTCCTCCTCGTCGTGCTTCTGCTGCCATTACCACGATTACGACCACTACGACTATTACAACCACTGCCACTACTACCATGACTGCTATCACCAACACAAGTATTGATTCTGGCACAACTTCTAGGAATACCCCCCCAAATGTCTGCGAAGAGACGCTGAGAAGCTGTCAGCCGGCCATGGGGCTGAGCAGAGCGAGGCTTCTGGCCTTGGCTGTCCTCTGCTCGCTTGCAGGTGGGGTGTACACATGGGTAGATAGTATGTGCCCACGTAATTCGGGGTATGAAATATGTTTTTTTGTTATACAGGCATGTAGTCATATCAGTAGACATCTACATATACATATATGTAAATTTAAGTGTAAATAGGGTGTATATCCAATATGTAGTATAATGTGTATGGTTTAGCGCAGATAGGGATGTATGTTCTTGGTATATACATACATTTTCACGTATAGCCATATATGCATAAAGGCAGACGTGTAGAGAAGTAAGCATGCGTGCAGATGTGTTCATATGTATATAGCATATATGTATATCTGTACATACGTACGCACATGTGGATCCAGGTGTATATGTGTATATCTGTACGTATATGCTTGTATAGGGTTTTAGAATACCCCTAAACTTTGGGGATTTATCAATTCAGTTAGGGCTTAGAGTTGAGAACATGGGCAGAGTTCGGACCCCACCCTCAGCAAACCTCAAAACTCATCTACTCTCTTTCTGTTCTATGAAGTTGTTGGCTCCGTTTTTGGCGGCAACTTTAATGAAGATTCTGTTGAGGCACAGTGGCGACCCTTATTCATGAAATTCTTTAAGTCAAAGCGCGCCAGTGGATTCTTTTTGGGCAGGCCAGGCATGGCTTGGGAGCAGCCGGCTACAAAGCAGCCGCAGTTGCGATGAGAGCCGCACAGCCTCCTGTCTATGCTGGAAGCGATGGGGTCCTTCGCCCTTGGTGAACAGTGTGATTGTTGAGAATCTTGCACCACAACATCTTCGTGACGTAATGGGGTCGAGTGTGCAGTGGTAAGCGCAATGCGAGAAATCCCGTCTTGCAATGCAAGCAACCCAGCAGAGTGCACAATGAGCATGATCATTATCAGAGTGCTCGTGATGGTCGGGATGTCACAATGATCACGATGATTGTAAGGTCGGCAGGAAGAACAATGCTAGCAAACTGGAGATGGATCGTGAGGTAGATGCAGGAATCTTGAAACTCCGCATCATCTACGCACGTGCTTTCAGTTTCAAATTGTTTTTTTGTGGGATGGATGTCTCACGGAGTGTAGGCTACGCAGCCCCAGGAGGCAGTAAAAGGGCCTTGAGCCCAGTGAGCAGCACCCCCATCCTCCCTCCCCCTGCTAGGGCGACAGTGCCCACTTTCTTCGCCGAGGAGCTACTCACTTTCTGCTTAATTGTGCAGTCCGCGCACGCGGGGCACACGAGACGTTGCAAATGTTGTGATTGTGGATGATTTTCGTGCCTGCCTCATGTTTGCCGTCGGTGTTGTGCTCCCACTCCGCTTGGCACACATGTTTTGGGTGGGGCGTATGCTGGCGCACGGCGCTGAAATGCTGCTCCCACTGCGCTTGGCTCAGCACCCCTGGTTGCATGATGCTGAATGGACGTCTAGTCCTTGCTCGAGGGAATTCCGTTAGGTACCCTGATTCCTGTTCAACGGACCACGATGGACGTAGCAAGTTCAACCGTGTCTTTCTCTCCGTTGGATGCGTGAGTCGACCGACTTTGCTTGCAAACTGGGGTCGTATCCAGCTATCATAAGTTGTTGCTCTGTTTTCTGCCTGTTCCAATTGTTCGGCCCCTAGCTCCTTGGTGCATTCATCTAGTTTGCTCCGCGCGAACTTTGTGATGGAGGACGCTTGCGAAGCCCCTCCAGATGTGGAGAGGGATGCAAGGTACAAAATTATGACCACTCTTTCCCTCCCCCTGATCGCAATATCGGGGTTATTACTAGTACTTCTGCTGCTATCGCTGGTACTACTACTAGCCGTGATAGCATGATATTCAAGCTGATGAAGGCTCTCCGAGCCCAGCCGCGGGTGGAGTCTCCCTCGCAGCGGCGGCCGCGGACGCGGCAGGAAACCATGATCAAACACTG